AAGACCCCCCCAGGTGCGGGGGGACTGGGGGACCCTGCTCCGCACCCCCTGGGGCAGGTTGGGTGCCGGGTGCCCCCGGAGGGGTGGGAGCAGCCAAGGGATGTCCCAAACACGCGTGGGGCCACCCCATGGGGCCCTCCGATCAGGCGGCAGGGTCTCTGATAGGCAGAAACAGGCGTCCCGTCCACCCCCGGGGCGAAGCCCTGCCGGGGCTGCTGACAATCCCACAGGAAGGAGCGTTTTGGAGCAGGCCCTGGTCTGCAGAGCGAACCTCCAGCAGCCGAGTGGGACGGTCCCTGGCCAGGAGACCCGAGCCCGGCAGGGCAGGTTTGGCTTCCCAAGCCCAGGGTCGCTTCCCCGAGCCCAACCACAGCGTAGGCATTCAACCAGGTCAGGGAACTGCAAGAGCTAATCTAAGGTACACACAGATGTGTGGTTTCCCTTGTACTGCTATTTGCTAGTTCAGCTTTAAAATCCTAAGCGACTGCTGGAAGAAATCCTACAGCCGGCCGGGCACTGAGCAGTTCCCTGGGAACTTGCTGCCAGCAATATTTCCATTTTACGGGTCTGATGACCCCGAAGCACGGGCTCTCCCACAGCCCAGCACGGCAGATACTGGAGCAGCTTCCCAGCCACCGCGGGCCCCAAGTGCGAGCTATTGAATTAAAGGGGTTGGCACTGAAACGCCCATGCAAACAAAGATAATAGTGTTATTCACCGCAGCCAGCTCGTATATGTTGTCCCCAAAGCCAGGAGAACTCCTTGGACTAGACCTGGATTAATCTCAGGGAACTCAATTAACACCCATATGAGCATTACATATGACATTTTTATCTAACTGCCTTGAAGACCTCTGAGATAACAGATCATAAACCTGCCCGGGGCTCCTCAGCTCGCGGGGCATCCCAGGCACTTGGACCCGGCAGCCCCGGAGCTAGTCGCTTGCTGGGAGCGCTCCCAACCTCCTGCCCCACGAGGCAAACTGTCCACACAGCCTCCAGTTGGGAGCGGAGGTAATCTTCATTACATGCTTCCTTCCTCTCCTCTGAAAAGCCAAAGGGTTTTGGCAAGTCTCTTCGGACAGATTTGTTTCAAGCGATAAGACCCAGGAGAGGAAATTACAGCCGCAAACACACCCCCCCACGGAGGGACAAGCGCCTCGAACACAGCGTGGTCCCCTCATGGCAGCCACCCGCCCGCCGCAGATATCCCCAATGTTTTATCAGCCGAAGAGCCGGCGAGCGTGAGATGGGCCAAACTCCAGCGGCGTCCAGCCTGGCCCTTGTACCTCAATCTGTGTCAAAGACAACACAAAGGGTGGGGAGAGCCAACAGCTGCAGCCATAAACCCAACCTGCCACGGGGAGAGCACCCGGGAGAGTCGATAAAGGAGGAGGGGGAAGAAGAAGTGGGGGAAGGACGTCCAAAACATCACCTTTGCCTGGAAAATGCCATCATCCACCTTGGTGACAGCGGCTGCAGCTCTCCCCTGGGCTCTCCTGTGGGAGCCGGGGACAGCTGAGGGACAAGTGGGGAGGAAGCGAGCCTTTTCCTTACAAGACTGGAGAGGAAAGAGCTGTTGCTCTCTGTTTATCTCCTCTCTCAATGGCCAGGGCATCCGGCCAGGAGGTCACAGACCTCCTGCAATTCTGCCGCATCTCCAAGGGGACTGATTTCATAGCTCCCTGATGAAAGTCTGAATGTGTTGGCAACGAGCTGCTCTGGAAGCTTCCAGCCCCTGCTCCAAGGACTCTCTATACAGCCCACGTGAAATAACCTCTGTCTAATGTACAGACCCCGTAACGCCAGCTCCTCTCCTTTACGGGGGTGTCTCACCTCCTGAGCCTCCTTTGCCTTGCTAATTAACTAATTGCCCTGTGAAAAGTGGAGGCTTGCGGCATTAAGGAGGACAGAGGCACACGCAGCCCGGTGGCATGCTCCCAGGAGGCCGGGGTGGATTTTGCGCCCTCCCAGAAGGAATTGAACGTCGGGCTCCCACAGCTGGGCAAGTAATTAAGAGCGCAGAGGTGGCCAGGCCCAGGGAGGGCTGGCGAAGGGTGCAACAGCGTCCCTCACCCGTGAGGTTTGGAAAACAG